TTGTCCAGGCCGGAAGGGACCTCCAAAGGCCATCTAGTCCGACCCCCCCGCAGTCAGCAGGGACACCCCCAACTAGACCAGGTTGCCCAGGGCCTCGTCGAGCCTCTCCTTGAATATCTCCAGGGAAGGGGCCTCAACCACCTCCCTGGGCAACCTGTTCCAGTGCTCCACCACCCTCACAGTGAAGAACCCTCTCCTCATCTCCAGTCTAAATCTGTTCCCCTCCAGCTTGAAGCCATTGCCCCTCGTCCTGTCACTGCAGGCCTTTCTAAACAGGCTCTCCCCAGCCTTCCTGTAGGCTCCCTTCAGGTACTGGAAGGCTGCTATTAGGTCTCCCCGGAGCCTCCTCTTCTCCAGGCTGAACAACCCCAGCTCCCTCAGCCTGTCCTCGTAGCAGAGGTGCTCCATCCCCCTGATCATCCTTGTGGCCCTCCTCTGGACCCTCTCCATCAGGTCCATGTCCTTCTTATATTGAGGGCTCCAGACCTGCACACAATACTCCAGGTGAGGTCTCACCAGAGCAGAGTAAAGTGGCAGAATCCCCTCTCTGGACCTGCTGGCAACGCAGCTTTTGATACAGCCCAGGATGGGATTGGCCTTCTGGGCTGCAAGTGCCCACTGCCTGCTCATGTCCAGCTTCTCATCCACCAGCACCCCCAAGTCCCTTTCCTCAGGGCTGCTTTCTAATACCTCACCCCCAGCCTGTACTGATGGTGAGGATTGTTCTGGCCCAGGTGCAGAACCTTGCATTTGCTCTTGTTGAACCTGAGGAGGTTCACCTGGGCCCACCTCTCCAGCCTGTCCAGGTCCTTTTGGATGACATCCCATCCCTCTGGTGTATCGACAACACCACACAGCTTGGTGTCGTCCGCAAACTTGCTGATGGTGCCTTTTGAGAGGTGTTTGAGAAACAGTATCTCTTGTCTCTACTATGGGCTGATCCTCTGGACCATCTTCTTGGGGAAATAAAGCTCCCTTGGTTTCCCTTCTGATAGCACAGCTTGTGTTTTCGGTGGCATAGCTGGAGCAGAAACACTGGGGGTATAACAAGGTGTTATGGGAATGTCCTGATTGTGGGGGCATCAGAAAAGAGAATGTCCAAAAAGGGAGCACTTAAATGTCAAAATTATATCCTCCTTAGAAATCAAGACTAGTAGCTTAATTGGAGGATTACAGAGAAAAGTGTGTTCTCAGGGCCGGGAGGGAGACGCTGGCAGCCCCCTGAAGACCTGACTCTTTACAATGTGCCTCTTGTGTTCCCTGCTCAGATAGTTGTGGAGATTTTGGAAGGGGAATCCGTCATCACCTGGGACTTCGACATCCTGAAGGGAGATGTGGTTTTCAGCCTCTTCCACTCCAAACGAGCCCCTGAAACAAGTCATAAAGAAGCCACGTTACCGAGTACCTCTGCTGCTGGGGACAACGTGCAGCTGATTGACAAGACGTGGGTCCTGGGGGTGGATTACAGCAGGGTGGAGTCTCCCCTCGTCTGCCGGGAAGGAGAGAGCATCCAGGTCAGGAGGGTTTGGGTCTTGGTGTGGATCTTCCAGTCCAGGCAAACCCCAGAGGGGTCTGGTGGGCGGTGGGGGGAAGGAGTTGTTGGTGTGGGAAATTATGGATTGCTTGGAAATAGAATCACAGAATCACAGAATCTTAGTGGTTGGAAGGGACCTCTGAGATCATCGAGTCCAACCACAAAAAAAAAACCAACCAAAAAACCAAAAAAACAACACCCAAAAAAAACCACCAAAACAAAACACACCACACCAAACGCCCACCAAAAACACCGCACCCACCAACTAAACCCCACACTCAACACCTCACCATAAACCAATAACCTTGGGCACTAGAGCAGGCCCTGAAGAGCCATGTCTATACATTTCTTAAATCCCTCCAGGGATGGTGACTCCACCACCTCCCTGGGCAGGCTGTTCCAGTGCCTGACCACTCTCTCAGTAAAGTAGTTCTTCCTAATATCTAGTCTAAATCTCCCCTGCCCCAACTTCAGACCATTTCCTCTGGTCTTGTCGTTTGTCCTTTGGGAGAAGAGGCCAACACCTGCCTCTCTACACCCTCCTTTCAGGGAGTTGTAGAGGGCAATGAAGGCAATAGCTTCTGTGGCTGTTGTTCTCTGGATTCCCTGTGAAAGTGGCCGCTATTGCTGTCCCAATTCAGACTGAGCCACTGGAAAGAGATTCCATAATCCGTGATGATAAACTCATTGAAAATAACCATTATTTTTTTTTTAATAGCATTGCAGGGGTGTGTGGCTCAGGCACGTAGTGAATGATGTTTGCTCCCCAGAGTAGTTGGCTCAAGAGTTTCTGGGCATGTAGAATAAGTGAATGATGTTTGCTCCCCAGAGTAGTTGGCTCAAGAGTTTCTTTTGACTTTGCCAAGTCATTTGTCTATTTCTTAGGAGGTAGTCACTTGATGGCCACTTTCTTTCTTTCTCCTCCAGGGCTCCCACGTGACTCGCTGGCCTGGCTTTTACATACTGCAGTGGAAGCCTCCAGGGCTCCCATGTGACTCGCTGGCCTGGCTTTTACATACTGCAGTGGAAGATGCACGGCCCCCTGCCCTGCTCCGGTACCAGCCTCCCCAGGGTGGATGATGTTCTCGCCTCTCTGCAAGTCTCCAGTCACAAGTGCAAGCTTATCTACTACTACGAGGTGCTGGCCTCCAAGGACTTCAGGTAGGGGGTTTTCTTGGGGGGGGGATTACTGTACAACTTGCAATAGAGAAGCAAAATAAGAGAACTGTGTGTGAGTTAAACATCTGGCTACCAATGACCTCCACAGAGTGGTTTTTTCATTGATAATAAGCAAGATGGACACAATCTTGGTGGCATTTTGTGTGAAGAATCTCCTTTAGTGCTGCTGGTCATAAGGGACCCCTTGGCTGTGTGTCCACTGGTGGAATTCATGCCTGAGTTCTTCTTACAGCCACCTGCAGTGTGGGGGTGGGAGTTCAACTGAGGAGGGTTTTTTCTGTCTTAGTTGGGAACATTTTGAGAAGTTACTTTTGGAGTTACTTAAACTTGAGCTGGGCTATTTCGTACGTAGGCTCCAGTCCCTGAAGAGGCTCCAGGAAAGCTGGGGAGGGACTCTGGATGAGGGAGGGGAGCCCTAGGAGGAGGGGGAAGGGTTGGACCCTGCAAGAGGGGAGATGGAGCTGAGCTGTGGGGAAGAACTTGTTTGGTGTGAGGGTGGTGAGAGCCTGGCCCAGGTTGGCCCGAGAAGCTGTGGCTGCCCCATCCCTGGAGGGGTTCAAGGGCAGGTTGGAGGGGGCTTGGAGCAACGTGGTGTGGTGGGAGGTGTCCCTGCCCAGGGCAGGGGGTGGCACTGGGTGGGCTTTAAGGTCCCTTCTCAACCCAAACCAGTCTGTGATTCTATGATAGCTATTTTGTTAAGCACTCAAGAAGGATCTCAGTTGTGACATGGAGAGGGCTTTCTGAATACATCAGCCTCGGCAGGATTTGGCTTCCTTTGAGGCTACAAGTACTTTTCAAATCACTTTTCAAATTCAGGGGAACTGAATCGTTGAATTAAGCAGTCACAGCTGTGCTGAACCCAGTCTGCTTTGGGCAGAAGGAGCTGAAGACCATGGCTGGACGGGCTGGAGCTCTTGGGTCAGCAGTTGCAGCTGCATTGACTGAGCTCTGCTGCGTTTGGAGTGCTCTTTAGTTTCCCTTGTTGCTCAGGGGCAGTGAGTGCAGCCCCACAGGGGCTCCCAGAGTCACTGCAGGAGACAAGGTGTATTATCTGTAGGTTTAGTATCTGTAGAGACAGGGTATATTGTCTGTTGCAAAGAAAAAATACATTGACAACAAAATAACTTTTCATCCTGACCCAAAGGAACCCTGAGATTCTCTGAGACAAAGTTAAAAATGATAGGACAAAAAAATAAAATACTTTTTCAAGCGTTACAAAGTATAAGCTGGTCTGTCCAATGTGTGGAGTTATCCAGATAGAGTCATAGAATCGTCTAAGTTGGAAGGGACCTTAAAGATCATCTAGTCCAACCATCAACCTCACTCTGACAAAAAAATAAGAAATAAGCAATAAAAAAATCACTAAACCATATTCCTGAGGACCATGTCTACCCGTCTTTTGAACACCTCCAGGGATGGTGCCTCAACCCCTTCCCTGGGCAGCCCATTCCAAGGCTGGATAACCCTTTCCATGAAGAAATGTTTCCTAATATCCAATCTAAACCTCCCCTGGCGCAACTTGAGGCCATTTCCCCTTGTCCTGTCTCCTGTGACTTGGGAGACGAGACCAACCCCCACTTCTCTACACCCTCCTTCAGGTAGTTATAGACAGAGATGCCTTCTTAAAAAACAATATCTCTGTTTTGTCCCACCCCAGGGGATCCATGTCGAGCCTGGAATCTTGCAACAGCGGCTTTTCCCAGCTGAGTGGAGCCACCACGTCTTCCAGCCAGTCCCAGAGCAGCTCCCACCTTTCCAGATAGCGGGGCCGGGGCGCTGCTGGCGAGGAAAAACGGCCTGGGGCCTCCTGGCCACCCCGGAGCTGCTCTGGGCCCCAAACCAAAGAGCCCACAGGGGCTGAGACCGGAGGCAACTCGTTCCTGTGGCCACAGGGAGCAGCCGTTTGAACACGGAGAGGCTTCTGGGAGCTATTTTAAACAAAAAAAACCACCTTAGAATTCGAATGGCAGATTTAGATATTTTCTATGAGACGCCTACTTCTCAGTAGCTTTTTTCATGGATTGTGGATTTTGGATGAATGTGGGTTTGCATGACTCTGTGTATCACTCAACTCAAAGGGCTCTTTCCGATCAGTCCTTTTTCCCCGGGGGCTGATGTTGCCTTATCTGTTTGATCTCTAGGACTAGATTATTCCCGTGTAGCAAAACTCATCTGGTTTGGGGAATTCCCAGGGAAAAAGCAGGCATTTCAGGCACAGGAACTTGAAGCAAACTGTAAATACCTTAACATAGATCCGGTGTTTCAGAAACCAGTTCCGGGTCAAACCTAAAACCTCTTCCCATGGGACAGGATGCTGTTAGGAAATGTGTTGGATTATTATTATTTTTTTTAAACCCAAAATGTTTTTCTAGAAGGCATGGGCAGAGGGAACCTGCCTCCTGGGAGCAGCATCTTCCTTGAGGATAGACTATTTCTCCTTTTTCCTCAGGTTTACAAGCAATAACGAGTAGATCCCACCCATCTCATCACAGTGGGTGGGAACTGAATCAAATTCTAAAGGGCTAAGAAAAGCAATATTTTATTTCCTGAAGGCACAACGTTTTCTGGCAGTATTATAGAACTGGCTTCTTTAAAATGTGAGCTAACTTGAAGAGAAAACTTTAAAAAAAAAAAAAAAGCATGTATGTATTTAAGTACTTACTGAGATGTATTTATTCAAATACTAGCTTATTTTAATTTTTAACTTATTTATCATTTCAAAAATGCCTATTTATTAAATCCTGTCACCTTTTTTAATGGGACGAACTTTGTTTTAGAAAGGAATAACTGATTGTCTTCAACCCCAGGAAACCTTCCTGCTGGTTCTAACCTTTGTGATGGCTGGATGTTCCTGCCTCAAGGGCTGTGTCGGACGTAGCGCTCGGGGTAAGGGCTCGGTGTCCTGCAAGGAAAGGTCTGCCCAATGGTCTTCTTTGGACTCCAGAGGGATGTTTCTTAGGCTTAAGAAGCAAGGATTGAGTTCAGGAGTTGTAAAAAGACAATGTATCTTTGCCACACACCAAAAATACTGTGTTTGTGCATGATTTCCACTGGTTGTTCCCAGGAGGAGCCATGCAGCAAAGGTGTTGGTGACCCACGGATCAGGTTGGGGACAGAGTTACTTGTGTTTTTGTCCAGGTGACCACCAAATAGAACCAGGCACTAAACCCTTGGCAGCTGTGGGGTGGTATGTACCACTGGCACATGTGTGGGGTGTGATGGGGACAGCTGTTTGCTTTGGGATCCAGCTGTGCTGTGTGAGGGACTGGGGGTGCTGCCCTGTTGTTCTCCAGGAGATCCCAGCCCAGTGTGCTCTGAAACAATGAGTTCCCAGTTCCCCAACTGGGGAGCAGCACAAAATGGCTCTGGGATTGGGGTGGGGAGAGCCTGGTGGGGGTGGGAGAGCACTTTCTCCCTCCAGCACAGCAATCCCCATATCCCTATCCCCAAAATCCGTGTTTCTCAGCAAAGCCTTGGTGAGAGGGGAAAAAAAAAAATCCAAGTTTTTATTAAGGCTGATGGAATATCTGCAGCTGAGAACAACCTATGTGTCAAGCAGTTCCTTCTAACCCTCCTGTTCTAGTTACTGGGTTTGAAGCACCGGGTGTTGACAAAGGAGAAAAGAGCCCCAATATTTGGAGCAAAGGGAGATGAAGGACTCGATGTGTTTGTGGAAGTTGCTTGGGCTTTTTTAAAGGATTAGGGTCAAGGAAATTACTCTCCCACCTCATGCCCCTCACTGCAAGAGCAGAACAGGTGATTTAGTTATGCAGGACCCCGGGAAAGCTCTGATTTCAGGGAGCTCCCCACTTACTCTGTGGAATTTATCAGTTCTCCCAGAATTGGAGTCTGAGAGAGAGGGAAAAGTGCTACCTCTGCTCTGGAAAATCAAGACTTCCGGAATGAGAAGAGCATCTGTGTATCCTTAATGTGAGATCTTTTACCCATAATTAATTTTGCTGCTACGAGGGGACTTTCAAACTGCCTCCCGAAGCACCGAGAGCGAACTGAGCCCCGTCCCCCCCGGCCTGGGCCAGGATTTGAGGATTTCAGCTGCTCCTGCCTTCGTTCTTACCGGGTTGGTCTCATCCCGTGGCTGTAACATCCCTCTTTCCACTGTTTCCCTTGGTTTGAAATCTCTTCCATTGCACTGGATTTTTATTTTTATTATTTTATTTTAAAACGTGCCGTTCTCCTCCCACCAGTGGCAGTTTTGGGTGTTTCACTCTTGTCAGTGAGGGCATCTGGAAGGTGGTGTCCCCCCAGCAGGTCTCTGAATGGGCCAGGGAGGGAGGAAGGGCCGCTCCTCCCCGGTCCCGCTCCTCCACCCACGGGAGAATCCTGCACCTACTCTTTGGGAAGCAGCTTTTTTAAGCAAAATAGGTTATTCCACCTGCCAATTTACTTCGCTACCAATTTAAATAATCCAATAGGGATTTATTTTTTTTCCCCTTCTTTCCCCGAACGTTAAGGCAACAGGAGAGAGGGGGCAGCAGCCGGGGTGTGTGGCTGATGCTGAGCTTTTTAATCCTGCCCCTGTGAACTGCAGATAGAAGGAAAAATTCTTCTAAAACACACTTTTGCCCCCCTAAAATGCCACGAAGTGTGCTCTACAAAATGAAACACGCTGTTTTCTTCACAGCAGCCTCTTGTGGGGTGAGACTGGGGGGAGTTTGGGATGATCCTCTCCTAAATCTCATCAGCCAGAGAAACCTTGAGAAACAGGACTCTGGTTTTGGGGCTGAGCTTGAGATGGTGAGACCCCCCCCTGCTCCCTCTGGCAGAGTCCCAGAGCTCGAGCAGTGCTCAGGAAACCAGCTGGGGATTGGAAAAAATATCTCCTTGGTAAATTGGGGCTTTTTCCCCATTTCAGATATTCCATATGCAAAGCACAGTCGCTACCTCACCCCGCTGCGGCCGCGCTCAGGGCACGAGGGGGGACGTGGAGGGAAAGGACACCGCGCTGTGGGGACAAAGTCTTGTGCTGCTGTTACAGTTAAAATACAGCCATTTGTGAAACCTTCATTCTGAGCAATTTCTGTGGGTTTGCCCCATTGCAGCCCTCAAACAGAAGGGAGTGGATAGCCATATAATTTCACTGAATTTCAGAGTTGGAAGGGACCATAGAGATAATCTAGTCCAACTCCCCTGCTGAAGCAGGATTGCCCAGAGCTTGTCAGAGCATGTTACTCAGGAGCATCCAGGCGGGTCTTGAAAATCTCCAAGGAAGGGGACTCCACACCCTCCCTGGGCAGCCTGTTCCAGGGCTCTGTCACCCTCACCGTGAAGAAGTTTCTCCTCATATTTGAGTGGAACCTCTTATGTTCCAACTTGTGCCCGTTGCCCCTCGTCCTCTCAGTGGGAACCACTGAAAAGAGTCTGGCTCCCTCCTCCTTCAACCCTCCCTTGAGATACTTGTAGGCGTTGATAAGGTCTCCCCTCAGCCTTCTCTTCTCCAGACTAAAGAGTCCCAGCTCTCTCAGTCTCTCCTCATCAGGGAGATGCTCCAATCCTTGAATCATCTTTGTTGCCCTACGCTGGACTCTTTCCAGTAGTTCCCTGTCCCTCTTGAACTGGGGAGCCCAGAACTGGACACAGTACTCCAGTTGTGGCCTCCCCAGTGCAGAGCAGAGGGGGAGAATGACTTCCCTTGACCTGCTGGCTACACTCTTCCCTATACAACCCAAGATACCATTGGCCTTCCTGGCCGCAAGAGCACACTGTTTACTCATTGTCATTTTGCTGTCCACCAGGACCCCTAGATCTTTCTCTTCAGTAGTTGTCTCTAGCAGGTCCACCCCTAACCTATACTGGTACCTGACATTTTTCTTCCCCAGGTGCAGGACCCTACACTTTTCCCTGTTGAACCTCATGAGGTTCTTCTTTGCCCAGCCCTCCAGCCTGTCCAAGTCTCGCTGGATGGCAGCACAGCCCTCCGGGGTGTCAGCCACTCCTCCCAGTTTGGTATCATCAGCAAACTTGCTGAGGATACACTCTGTCCCCTCGTCCAGGTCACTGATGAATATATTAAACAGCACGGGTCCAAGTATTGACCCCTGGGGGACTCCACTGGTTACAGGCTTCCAACTTGAACCTGCTCCATTAATCATTACCCTTTGGGTCCTGTCGCACAGCCAGTTCTCAATCCACCTCACTGTCCCCTCATCCAGCCCATACTGCCTCAGTTTCCCAATGAGGATGTTATGAATTGAAAATTCGTACCAGAACACCCATACATACTTAGATATGAAAAAAGAAAAATCTGAACCTATTGAGATTCAAATTGGAGTAAAACAAGGCGATCCTGTGTCTCCAATCTTGTTTAACTTATCTGTTGACCCCCTATTATGTAAATTAGAAGTGATAGGCAATGGCTTTCAATATCAGTCAAAAAGTATAACATCCCTGGCCTTCGCCGATGACCTAGTCTTACTTAGTGGATCCTGGGAAGATATGCAGAATAATATCAAAATAGTAGAGGCCTTCTGTGAACTTACTGGTCTCAAAATGCAGGGGGAAAAGTGTCATGGTTTTTACATCAAGCCAACCAAAGACTCCTATACGATCAATGACTGTCCTCCTTGGACGATTAATGGCACCCCCCTTAACATGATCGATCCAGGCAATTCAGAAAAATACCTGGGTCTACACATAGACCCATGGAAAGGCATATCAAAACCAGATCTGCTTGCAAAAAATTGACAATTGGCTTATAAAAGTAGGCAGAGCACCATTAAAACCATTTCAAAAGCTAGATATCTTGAAAGGGCGCTTAATACCAAGAGTAATATATCTGGCAGATCAGGCTAACTTAAAATCAACATACTTAGAAACCCTTGACTTAGCCATACAAACAGCTGCCAAGGAATGGTTACACTTACCAGCATGTACATGCGACTCCGTCCTGTACTCAGGAACCCAAGATGGGGGCCTGGGAATCAGTAGATTGGCCGCACTGATCCCAAGCGAACAAGCACGTAGATTGCACAGACTTGCCCGAACTTCAGATGAAATTTTAAAAATGGTAGTAGAAAACGAAGGAATAGAAGACGAATTCAAAAAACTATGGGTGAAGGCTGGTGGAGATGTGAAAAAGATACCATGTATATGGGACAGAAATTTTAAAAATGGTAGTAGAAAATGAAGGAATAGAAGACGAAATCAAAAAACGAGGGGTGAAGGCTGGTGGAGATGTGAAAAAGATGAGCACCATTAAAACCATTTCAAAAGCTAGATATCTTGAAAGGGCGCTTAATACCAAGAGTAATATATCTGGCAGATCAGGCTAACTTAAAATCAACATACTTAGAAACCCTTGACTTAGCCATACAAACAGCTGCCAAGGAATGGTTACACTTACCAGCATGTACATGCGACTCCGTCCTGTACTCAGGAACCCAAGATGGGGGCCTGGGAATCAGTAGATTGGCCGCACTGATCCCAAGCGAACAAGCACGTAGATTGCACAGACTTGCCCGAACTTCAGAAGAAATTTTAAAAATGGTAGTAGAAAATGAAGGAATAGAAGACGAAATCAAAAAACGAGGGGTGAAGGCTGGTGGAGATGTGAAAAAGATACCATGTATATGGGACCCCAGTGCAGTTATGAAAATATCAGATGCAGACGACGACCAATTGTCAGAATGGGAGATTCCCAATCCTAGAGCAATCTACCCAAAACCATGCGATTGGTGGAAAAAAGAGTTTAAGAATTGGACAGAACTTCAAACACAGGTTTCCCAGTTTACTGGTTTCTGTCCCAGTAGCACTGGGAAAGGCAAACACAGAGCACATACAGGGAGGATGGATCTCAGCCCAGACTCGAGGCAAAGCTGCGATGCAGCAAAGGACCCGTTTTGGCTCAACATTTTGCTGGTTTTGGGGGAAAAGGGCTTTTTTTCTGCTGCAGCCAGAACAGCGTGGCCTGGGGGAGGGACGGGGGGCGGCTGTAGCCCAGGAAGGGGCAAGAGCAGCTGCACTGGCTGCTCCTGAGGAGTGGCTTTAATGACCTTCTAACATGTTTGTGACGATTCTTACATCGAATTACTTCTCTTTTGGGAGGCTAAATGGATATGTGACACGCATTAATTGGCTTTTAATGACATCCATGTCCACTTCCAAGCTCTTAGTTACCGATAAGTTAAATGGGCATTATTTTTATTTTAGCAAGCAGTGTCTTACTTTCTCTCCCTTGCAGCTGTCTTCAGTTTTATGTATTGAAGTCTTGGTTTTTCTCAGCCCAAAAATACAAACCCTGACGTTCCTGAAGAGTGTGTGGGGAGACATGGGGGGGCTTCCTACCGTGTCACTTGGCAGCAGAGGTGCTTCGTGGCAGCAGGGGAGGGTCGGGCAGGAGCTGTGCGTCGCTGGGTCTTGGAAATAAAACAAGCAGCTTTAAAGAACACGTCTGATTGTTTCCTGCAACTGTTCAAATCGTGGTAGACTCTGAAAATTTAAGCACGTGTCCTCTTTGCCCACAAAAATAGAGGTAAGTCTGGCTTGGATTTGGTTATTCCTACTTTTTTAACTGAAATGTTAATTTTTTTTCCAGTAGAACCAGCATTTTTTGTTAATTTTCATAGCACAGAGTGGGCTGCTGCAACACATCCTCCTGCAACGTAGTTGGTTGTTTAAAATAGAAAGGGTTTGAAGGACCAGCTGAGACTTACTGGGAAGGGATGGGGTCTCCCTTCTGCAACGGGGTATTAAGGACCAGAGTTTGGGGCAGTTATTAGCAATAGACTTTATTCAAGTTTCAAATAGCATTCTGTAAATAATAGAAAAATAGAATCTTCCATTTACAGTTTGATTTGATGCCCACAGCAGCACAAAAATGACATATCCCTTACGTGGAGAGATAAAAACTGAGTGCATAAAAATGGTAACGTTGAGGCTCAGACAGGCTTTAACCATCCCTCCCCCCCCCTTTTTTTTTTTTTATTTTTTTGCAGCATTTAAAGGCTCCTTTTCCCTCACGTGGAAGCAAACTCAAACGTGTTTTTGTTTGGGTTTAAAATGCAATATCTGAGGGTGTATCCCAGTAAAATGCCTGATTTCCAGCTGAGACGTTCAGGATGTTGGGTGTTGGAAGTACTGAGGGTGGCTCCCGAGGAGGAGGAGGAGGAGGAAGGGCAGCTCCAGGGGCTGCACAGGGCATCCCATAGTTGAAGACCAGGTGGCCCCAGTCCCACCACGGGTCTCCTCACCCTGCTCTTCCCCAGGGGAGCCCGGGCTGTGGTACCTCTGTGGCAGCCCGTGCAGCCGGGCACAGCTCACCAGCTCCTGGGGGGTACAAGAAAATGCAAGAATTAATTTTTTTCACCAAAAATGCACTCCTGGGACTGAGGATTCAGTAGAAGCCACTCGGCGCAGGCCGGGTGAGGAAAGTCAGGTGCAGGGAAGCCCCAACCCTGTGGCCAGAAGGAGGGTGCTGTGGTTTATTGTGCCCCACACCTCCTTCAACACCTTAAAACAACTTTTGTTTTTTCGGTTTTATGAGAAAAGTCTGAGCTTACCAGGGAAGGGCAGACAGTTACAGACTACACCGACCTCCAGGTGATCTGTCTTGCATCTTAAAAATATTTACTGCTGCTCAGGTGAGAGGGGACCTCTCTGAAGTGCCCCTGGCTTCCACTCCTCACCTGCTTCCCTCAAGCACTGGAGGGAACCAGCCCCTTTCCCTTCCTCCTGGGCCATTCCCTCATCCACCCTGGCTTGTGCCCCGTGTCCTCTCGTGGCTACTAATTAGGCAGCCTCGTTTGCCACAGCTGGAGCAGCAGGAGGGAGGGAGGCTGGGCACGTCCTCAGCAGGGCTGGGCCAGAAGCAGGGGGTCTCTGGGACCACGGAATCTTGCTCTTTGGTCACGCTCCTGAGGGGCAGCAGGAGGTGTGGGGTGAAATACCTCCTCTCCCCTCATGCGGGGCTCTGAAGGAGGGCCTGGTTCTGGTCCTGGGCATCGTCCATCTGGCAGGAGGTGGAGGTGTGACCGGCTTCCCCGTTCATCTCCCTCAGCGGCAGGTAGAGATAGTCGCCGCTCTCCTGCTGCCTCTCTGACCTGGCCTTCAGGAGAAGGCCCGCGTTGCCCATGGCGCTGATCACCAGCAGCAGAGCCAAGACAGAGGTCATGGAGAGCCAGGTTTTTCTGTCAAGATGAGAAAAATTCCCGTAAGAAACATCTCTTGACCTGCAAATGTGGGACCCTGCGAGCGCTGCAGCTTCCAGAGGAAGGGGAGGGCTCAGGGCTGTGGCACCGGGGCAATGAGTTCTCTGGACCGTCACCATCAAGGGAGAGAGAGAGAACTCCTCAGTAAACTTCCTCATTTCTATTGAGTGTGACATTCATGGTATGAAATAACCCTGTTGGCAGCTTGGGTCAAGTGCCCGGGTCTCACTCCTCATCCCCACACCTGGCAAGGGTCAAAAACATCAAGACCTTGAAACCCACATCCCAGAGCGGGCTGTAAAGTGAGTATTTTCACTAGTTCAGACACTAGAGTCTTCCAAAAGGGGGGTTCCCCCCAGCAGCAGAAGAGAAGTCAGTCCTGTGTCGCTCAGCCCCAGGACACCCAGCCCCACAGATGCTTTGGAGGAGCAGCAGGTCCCCAGCCTTCCCTGCCCCACAGCCAGGAGGGGGTGAGAACATCTCCTGGGTGAGCAGTGAGGGCAGGGGCTCAGGGGGTGTGTGTGCACACACGCGTGCAATGAGAATTACACACTTACTCTGACAGAGAGAACTTGTCTTGGCTCCTTCCCTTACCCTGGGAAGCCAAACACCGCCCAGCTGGAAAACAAAGAAGAGAGGGAAGAAAGGCAGTGGTGAGGGGGAAGGTATAAAAACTCCACGGAAAAAGAGCAAGTTTAGGTGAGATGAGAACTGAGCAAAGGGACTGTTATGCCCCAAAGCTGCTCTTCCCACTGTGTCTGGTGGTACCTTTGTTGAGCTGCTCCTGCACTGCGGGCGGGAAGGTGACGTTGCAGCTGCCCGTCTCCCGGTCGCAGGGACACGAGTGTTCACACACACACTGCTCCCGGCAGTTTGGCCCGTACCAGCCCATGGGACACTCTGGGGAATCCAGCAGAGAGAAGTTTGTCACTGTTAGAGCTCCACTTTGGAACCACCTGGTCCATCACCGCAGCTCCCTGGCCCCTGGCTCAGTGCTGGGGGGGGTGGGTGCCCTCAGAGCCCGGGGAGAGGCTCAGCCCTCACCTACCTCTCACGGGGTGTTCGTGTTGCCCCATCTCTGCCCATCTCGCTCCCCGTGCCCTTCTCTCCCCACACGCCTGAGCCATGACCCTGCTGTTGGCTCAGGAGCAGAGGAGGGGGCACCAGCAGCCCTTTCCTAACCAGACTCAAGGACTCGTGTGTGACTACAAGCCCCCCCCCAGGCTCTGGCTGCACTGGGAGGTTGGGACCCCACATTTCCTGCCCCCCATCCCCGCATCCTCCAGCCCGAAAGCACCAAACTGCAAGGAAACTGCTGTGATTTTGTTTACTTCACAGAGAATATGCCATCAGAGGGGAAATGGGGCTGGCGGAGGGTTCCCGGGCTGAGAACAAAGCATCCCGGGGTGTTTACACCCTCAGGGTAATTAACTCAGTGCTGTCACCAGAGCCGGATGCAGGGGGGCTCCAGTACTTCAGAGAAGCTGGAGGGGACACCATCGACACCATCCCTGGCTCCGTTGTCACTGGCACAGGCACAGCTGGAGCTGTCAGCCGGAATGGTGGCTTTTTGGACATTTCACAGTCACTGACTGGGCACAGGCAGGGCCTGGTGCAACCCCCTCACACGAGGGATATTTTAACATTCATGTTCTACGCTTGTGAGCTTCAGCAACACCACAGATCTTTGGGGCAGAGACTGAAGAGACTCCACAATTTCCTAACGATGAAAAAAACCTGCTCTTTCCTCTCTGTTCCTGCTCTTTTTAGCCAGCTTGGGTCGGGCAGCCAGCCCTTGGGAACTGGGAGGGGATGCTCCAGCTCCTGAGCCCGCCCAGCACAAGTCCCGATTGCTTTGTCTGCAAGGGGGGGGACTCAAAGGTGACACAAAAGCCCGTCCCCAGCCCAGCTGTCCCTCGGAGCAGCCCTTACCTCGCTCACAGCTGGTGCCGTGGTACCCAGCCGGGCAGGAGCAGGCCCCATGCACGGGGTCGCAGGAGCCACCGTTCTGGCACAGGCATCTCTGGGCGCAGGCGGCCCCGTAGAAACCACTGGGACAAGCTACGGGAGACAAACAGAGCTCTCCTCAGGGCCCTGCTTCCACGGGCACAGATCCCACCCCACCCGGGACCCACGGGGCCGGCGCTGGCACGGGGAGTGCTCAGAAGCTGAGTCTGTGCCTGGAGCAAGGGCTCCCAGCGCTTCGCCCCAAGCCAGTGTTAACTTCCTTGCTGTGGGGGTGGCAGAGCCCTGGCAGAGGCTGCCCAGGGAGGTGGTGGAGTCTCCTTCTCTGGAGACATTCAAACGCACCTGGACACGTTCCTGTGGGACCTGCTCTGGGTGGACCTGCTCTGGAAAGGGGGTTGGACTGGATGGTCCCTTCCAACCCCATATCACTCTGTGACTCTAATATTAGGATGCTCAGGCTGCAATTAAACTCACACTGAGTAGCCTGGCCCTTCACAGCTCCCTCTCAGGGACCCACCACGGCCACGGGCAGTGGCTCACACAGTCCCTTCTCTGGCTACGAGGAAGGGGAGCAGGAATCAGCGTTACCTTGGCTGCAGTTGCTGCCGGTCCAGCCAGCGTCACAGAGGCATCCAGCTGTGCAAAGACACACAAACGGGCGTTAACAACAGCAGGGAAAGACTTAGAAACTGAAAACGAGGAGCCTCTGCCTCTTGGGGTGCCCCCTTAACTGTCCCTGCCTCGGCCAGGGAACCCACGGAGGGAATCCTGAGCTCAGGCACAGGTTGGGATCAAACACCCACCCGCCGCAGCTGCCAAAGGTGGCAGAACCTCCTGCATCTGGGATTTTGCAAGAGTAGCTCTGGGTCGGCTGGTAGCAGCACCTGTACCCCCTGAGCTCTGCCCAGTCACCCCACTGGTGTCACCTCGGCCATGGGGTCCGTCGGGGAGGTGGCACAGACACAGGAAAACGGGACTGAGCAGGCAGAGGAGAGCAGAAGCTGGATCAGAGGGCACATTACAGCAGTCCCTGGAGTCAAAATGAGTTTACGGAGGAGCAGCAATTGCTCATTTGTGAACATTGTGAAGTGGGAGAGTCAGGGAGTGACAAGGGGAGGGGACAGGACTCAGCCACTTTGTCACACAGAGTAATAGACTGCCCTTCCCATCACCAGGAGCACAACCGAGTAGCTCTGGGTCGGCTGGTAGCAGCACCTGTACCCCCTGAGCTCTGCCCAGTCACCCCACTGGTGTCACCTCGGCCATGGGGTCCGTCGGGGAGGTGGCACAGACACAGGGAAACGGGACTGAGCAGGCAGAGAAGAGCAGAAGCTGGATCAGAGGGCACATTACAGCAGTCCCTGGAGTCAAAATGAGTTTACAGAGGAGCAGCAATGCTCATTTGTGAACATTGTGAAGTGGGAGAGTCAGGGAGTGACAAGGGGAGGGGACAGGACTCAGCCACTTTGTCACACAGAGTAATAGACTGCCCTTCCCATCACTCCCATCCCAGCCCCGGGGGGCAGAAAGGGAAACTCAGACGTGGAGGATGAAGTCAAGTCCTATTACAGACCCCGTTTCCAGACAGGATCCCAGCCCAGCCCTGGTGGTGCCTCCCAAAGACAGCGTGTTCTGACCATCCCCACTGCTGGGGAAAGGCAGGGAGCAGCCCCATGAGCAGCCCCACGAGGTAAGAGGAGGGCCGAGGCGCACAGCACCAGCTGGCTTCCAGAGGGCCAAAGGGCTAAAACCCTAAAAGCTGTGACTCCCGGGGCTGGGAGGCCTCACCAAAGCCCTTTCCACAGTGAAGGAAGCGGCTGGTGCCAGTTCAGAGCTGTCTGCTCCCTCACAGCAGGCTGGGAGACCCCGTGAGCAGCCAGGACTGCCAACGGTGGTGCCTCGCAGGCGGGTAAGTGACATCCCCTGGAGCTGCCCACGGGCACCCACTGAACCCCGTGTTGAGCCTTTTCCCCCCCGCAGGGACTCACCGTCGGTGCAGACCCCGCGCAGGCTGCAGTTGACAGACCCCGTGAGAAGCCAGGACTGCCAACAGCGGTGCCTCGCAGGCGGGTAAGTGACAGTCCCTGGAGCTGCCCACGGGCACCCACTAAACCCCATGTTGAGCCTTTTTTCCCCCCGCAGGGACTCACCGTCGGTGCAGACCCCGCGCAGGCTGCAGTTGGAAGGGCCACAGTCCAAGATGTCACAGGCTGGGCCCCTCCAGAAGTCCCCGGAGCAGCGGCAGGTCCCTGCCACGCAGTGCCCGTGGCCGCTGCAGTCAGGGGGCTGGCAGGGGGGCTCGTGGACGCAGAGGACGGTGGAGATGCTGCGCGGGCACCGCCACATGCTGTCGAAGGAGCTGGGGACAGAAGACATACCCCATCAGGCGGGGAAGCACCGTGCTGCTCCCGCCCGACGTGAAACCCGTCGATATGACCCACACATTTTCATCCTGGTTCCCATTGGCAAAGGAGAACATTAAAGATGGCAAAATATAAATATAAAACCAGATCGGAGTCAATGTTTTAACTAAGTGTTAACTCCTATCGGATAGGAGTCATTTCAAACAGAATCTTCTAGGTTGGAAGGGACCTTAAAGATCATCTTGTCCAACCGTCAACCTAATTCTGACAAAAATAAACACCCACACAACAAACAAGGAGCATCATCACTAAACCATACCTCCCAGCACTACATCAACCTGTCTTTTGAACACCTCCAGGGATGGTGCCTCAACCACCTCCCTGGGCAGCCCATTCCAATGCCTGAGAACCCTTTCAGTGAAAAAATTTTTCCTAATATCCAGCCTGAACCTCCCCTGGTGTAACTTGAGGCCATTTCCTCTTGTCCTGTCGCCTGTGACTTGAGAGAAGAGACCGACCCCCACCTCTCTACACCCTCCTTTCAGGGAGTTGTAGAGAGCAATAAGGTCTCCCCTCAGCCTCCTCTTCTCCAGGCTGAATAACCCCAGTTCCCTCAGCCTCTCCTCATAAGACTTGTGCTCCAGACCCCTCACCATCTTTGTCGCCCTTCTCTGGACCCGCTCCAGCACCTCAATGTCT